GTTCATGAGTACAATGGAAAGTGACCTTCTTACTTTAGCAGGACCAATCAATATTGCGGCGATTGATTGGACAAAATGTATGCATCTATCGGATTCCTTGCAGTGACCTTTGGCGACAAAACGAATTCGATGCAGCGCTGTATAAGGTGCTGTGTACGTCAAACGGGGACACTCCTTGTGCAGTTCGAGATCGCACTGGCGGTAACAATCTCATGAACTCTACGGGTGATCTAAAGCGAGATGTAAGGTGATGAACTGCAATCAAAACGCGGTCTACTGCGGTGTTTGGACGAGGGGGTGCGTTCCGATTTCGAGGCAATGGCAGCAACCCAACGACACCATGACGAATGGTTTGATGCGAACTTTATCGACCATAGACGTAGTGGTTCCTTCGGCCATTCCACTTCAGTCGCGGACACTTTTCGTGCCGTCCACGACACGTTTGAGCATGAGAATAAAGTCGCCCGCGAAGAACGCGACCTCAACTTCAACGACAACGTGGCAAGTAACGCCGACAACTTTGACGGAATGGATTACCAGACAGCCGACGACAACGGATTGAGCTCCGACAACATAACAGCGTACATCAGTGTGTTAACCAATTCGAGAAATTACTTCCCGCTTGTCCCCGGTAAGTGCACTCAAATTGAGATCCCCTTACGTAGCAAATAGGATACCTGTACCTACTCCCGTCGGTCAGTAACAACTTCAAGCAGTTGAAGTTTGGGGGGAAGGCTGTTCATGTGTTCAGGATCCTGCACACTTTTGCCGACGTGACAACGTGCGAACTCTACTACTGCACGACATGCCGCGCCACGCGACGCTACATGTCGACAAGAATGGTGTTTGCACAGGCTGCAACTTTCGAAAGCCGCAATGATTTCGAGATACAATGTGGGGATTCGACCGAATGTATTCACGTTCGGTGAGTTTGTTATTACTACTGTATCGCATATGAAGTTGTAATAGGTCAGTTCAGAGCCTTGTCGTCAACGAGCCAACGGCCGGCGACGTGACTTCGCAGTTATATCGCCAGGAATTCAATTCGTCCTGGATTATCACACTCATGGCGATGTGTGTGTGAGTGTGTGCTCCAAAACAGACCCGCTGGACAGAGTTGTTCTGAAGGCTGTTGGCCATGAAGTGTGGGAGTGCCAGTCGTGTGTGGTGTCCCTCAAGTGCAGACAGCTGAGTAGCTGCATGGACCGAGGCGTGTGGGTCACTGGATGCAGACGATGTCGTACAATACGAACACGATTGATGTGCACCAAGTGCATTGGTGCAAAGTGAGGAGCTCGTGGTGGAAGACATCGTTCCACTTGCTACGTCCAAGATCAGCATTGACCAGGTCAAAACCAGTAGAGGTGTTCAATGCCTTGACCAGTCCGGCCATGCAATTGTGTTGCCCATCACCCCAACGTTGCCCTGCACGTGTGGTGCATATTTCGAGGCGCCATCGAGCGTACTGTTCAAGCAAGCCACAGTGTATGGATTAACTTGCCATCGGCGCATAAC